CGGGATACGGCACCATCGTGTGAGTACACGCCACCCGACCGACGACGGGCACCTGGGGGGTCTCCCCGACGTGCCTGCCGTGAGCCATGCTGCCGTGCCGCCGAGACGCTCTGTCCGTTTACCTGGTGCACATGTCAGTTTCTCCAGGGTAGATGCCCAGAAGAGAATGACACGAATAGTCCCTTGCCCTGGCCAGGTAGGTCAGTTGGTTAGCAGCGGTTCTCCACCTGGGGGTCGCGACCCCTTTGGGGGATGAACGACCCTTTCACAGGGGTCGCCTAAGACCAGCAGAAAACACATATTTCCCGATGGCGATTCATAACAGTAGCAACATTACAGTTATGAAGTAGCAGCGAAAATAATTTTATGGCTGGGGGTCACCGCAACATGAGGAGCTGTATTAAAGGGTCGCGGCAGTCGGAAGGTTGAGAACCACTGAGTTAGAGCATTGTCCTGATACGCCAAGGTTTCAGGTTTGATCCCCAGTCAGGACACATATAAGAGTCAAACAATGAATGCATAAATAAGTGAAACAATAACTCAATCTTTCTCTCTCTCTCTCCCTCCCTCCCTTCCTCTGTCTCTCTCGGTGACCTTATTTTGCATTTCCTTTATTACCAGTGAGAGCATGCCTACTGTTCATGTTCTATCTTCTGCAAAATGACTGTCTTTACCTTTTGTATTGGGTTGTCTTTTTCTTATTGTAGTTCTTAATATATTCTGGATCTTAAATACTTGCTGGCTAAATATGTTGCAAATATGTCCTTCATGTGTGTGGCTACTCTTCTAGTTATTTCAAGGCAGTTTTTGATGAACAGAAATTTTTAATTTTTAATGTAATTTGGTTTACCCATCTTTTCTTTGATGGTTTATACTTTTTGTGCCTTCAGTAAGCTTTACCTGCCACAAAGTCCTACATATATTCTTTCATGTTTTCTAAACATTTTCAAGCTGTTGTTTTTTAGTTATTATTTTACTTTTAAGGCTTTAGTCCAGTTAGGGGTGCTTTTTCTCTATGGTGTGAGGTAGGGCTCCGGTTTCATTGTTCCCATCTCAATAACCAGTTGTCTCAGAACCATTTAGTCAACAGAGCATCCTTGCCTCCACTGGTCAGCAATGTCACCTTTGCCAAAGTCAGTGTCTCTCTATGCATGAAGCTGTTTCTGGTCTCTCTATCCGGTTCCATTGGTCAGTTTGCTTAGTTCTGCACCAACATTACACTGCCTTTCATTCCTATAGCTTTATGATAAGTATGTCTCTTGATGCACATAAATCATTCAAGGACTCTAGGTCAGAACCTTAAAGGTCAGCTGGTGGAACCATCCACTGAGAAACTGAGGCTCAGAGAGGGAAAGCATCTTCTTCAATGTGACACAGCATTTAACTAGTAACACTAAGGACTGAATGTTTGTGTCTTCCTCTCCCCAAAATCCATATGTTGTCATATAGTGAAATCTAATATGATGGTATTAGGAGATGGGACCTTTTAGACATAATTAGGTCATGAGGGTGGAGGCCCCATGAATGGGATTAGTGTCCTTATAGGAAGAGACGAGAGCGCTAGCCCCTTCTCTTTCCACCACGTGAGGATACAAGTCAGCAGCCTGTAACCCTGAAGACGGCCCTCAACAGGACCAAACGTGCTGGCGCCCTGGCCTCAGACTGCCAGCCTCCAGATGTGTAAGAAATAATTTTCTGTTGTTTAAAAGCCACTTAGTCTGTGGAACTTTGTTTCAGCAGCCAGAATGGACAGAAACAAACACCCATCTCTCACCCTGAAGGACACTGTCCTGTTTAGTATGGCAGCCACTGGCCACATGTGGTTACTGAGCACCTGAGATATAGCTAGTCCAAACCGAGGTGAGCTGTAAGTGCAAAATACACACTAGATTTTGAAGACTTGCAGTAAAAGAAGAAGAAGAAGAAGAAGAAGAAGAAATGTAAACTAGCTCATGAATAATTTGTTTATATTTGTTACATGTTGAAATGACAACACTGGATATAAAGGGTTAACTAAAATATATTTTTAAATTAATTTTGTCTGTTTCTTTTTACCTTTCTATAACAGTGAAATAATAAAGTAGCTGCACATTAGCCCTGGCTGGGTAGCTCAGTTGGTTAGAGCCTCATCTGGATACACCAAGATTGTGGGTTTGATCCCCAGACAGGGCCCATACAAGCGTCAACCAAGGGATGTGTCAATGAGTGGAACAGGCCAATGTTTCTCTCTCTCTCTCTCTCTCTCTCTCTCTCTCTCTCTCTCTCATTCTCTCTATCTAAAGTCAATAAATAGATACAAAATTTTTTTAAAAAAATAGAAAAGTAGCCACACATTAACCTGAATGGCTACTAGAAAAAACCGACATCTGCGGCTCGTATGATATTCTATTGGACAGATTTAGAGCATCGGCCCACAGACCAAAGGTCATGAGTTTAATTCCCAGTCAAAGGCATGTACCTGGGATGCAAATTCAATTCCTGGCCCCTGGTCAGGGTCATGTGGGAGGCAACGAATTGATGTGTCTCTCTCACATCAATATTTCTCTCGCTCCCTTTCCCTCCCTCCCTTCCACTCTATCTAAGAATCAATGGAAAATATCCCCAGGTGAGAATTACCAACAACAAAAAGCCATGTAATCACAAGCCTTTATTAGGGACCTAATTTGTGCACAGTAGTAAGAGCTCCGTGATAAGGAAGGGAATGGAAATGGTTCCCATCAAGCATTCCACCGCCTCACTGGACTCATCACCCAAAAGGCTGCACAGCCAAGCATGAAAGAATGAGCTCAAGGTGCAGCCCAGCCCAGCTGGAGGGCTCTATTCCAGTCACAGAGGGGGCAGCACCTGTGTCCACATCTAGAGGTCATTTAGAGCAACCCTCCTGTCTTTGCAGATCAACCAGCTAATGTCCAGGGAGGCTGAGACACCTACCCAAGATCACACAGCAGGTGCAAGGTGCGAAGGCCCCTGGCAGAGGTTTCAAAGCTCCATCCCACCTGTCCCACCTGTAGCCTCCAGCCCTGGGCTTCCCCTTCCCCTTCCGGGAAACACTCCACCAACTCCCATCTCACAACAGCACCCAGGACCCTTGAGAAATGTGCAAGTCCAAGTGTCTGCTCCTTAGTGGACCCTGGGGATTTGCACCGCCAGTCCCTCCCACCTTCTGACCAAGAGAAAAGCCCAGAAACTCATCTTCATGCCCTTCCTCGGTGTGGCCCCTCTCCCCAAGGCACTCCCCAAGGCACTCCCCGACTTTATGAAGCAGACACTCAGAACACACCTCCTCTGCCCCAAGAAACAGAAAGTCAGCCTGAGGGGCAGGACCAGCCCTGCCTCCTACCTTCCCTCCCCCCATGTCAGACTCAGAAACTTTAGGGCACCAGGCCCCTCAGCACCCAGCCACACGGACGTGGGTATCAGAATGATACCAGCTTGGCTCAAATTCACCTCCTGCCGCTTTGCCCACAGAGGCGGTGGTCTGAGGGCCAGGGTAGCAGGCGAGAGGGCAGGGCAGGCTGGTGCCCCCTCCAAGAACCTGCTGCCCAGGAAGGAGAGGCCCTGGCTGCGCTCCCAGGACACGTGTGCTCCGAGACCCCTAGCGCTGAGGGGCATCTTCAGGGACGGCTTTGACACCAGCTTTCCGGTAAGCCCGCCCACCCAAACTCTCAATCATTGTGCCCCCACCCCGATGCCCCTTGATTAGCAATCAGTGTGACAGGAGCGTGCCTTCGGATCGGCAATCCCCTAGGAGGACCCGTCAACATCGTCATCAACGTTATTAAGGAAAAGCAAGTGAGCTGGGCCGGTTTGGCTCAGTGGCTGGAGCATCAGCCTGCAGACCAGAGAGACCGGGGTTCATTCCTGCTGGGGGCACGTACCAAAAAAAAATTTTTTTAAAGGAGAAGAAAGTGAGCCTCAGGGGACCTAGACCTCAACCTGTGAAAAGGCCATCACGGACAGACGGCTCTTCCTGGGTCCTGGGCCTCAGTTTCCCCACTTGAAAAGAGCTCCTACCCATTCTTCCCGCTTGCTACGAGAGGGGCCAGGAGTGGTACAACGGGGGACAGGGGTGGTGGCGGCGGGGACAGGGGTGGTGGCGGCGGGAGGGACGGCCAAGGCTTTTCATCTCTAAGAGAAACGCCGGGTGGGCAATGAGCGGTCACTGCTCCGGGGCGGTGCAAAGCGCTTTCCCGGGATCATCTCACCTAACCCTCCGGGCACCGCGGGGGGGGGGCACTCTCACTGTCCCCGTTTTGCACACCTGTTAATGGAGGTTCAGAGAAGCGACTCGCCTCAGGTCACCCCGCTAAGAGCGGGGCGCTGGGAACCCGCGCTCTCCGGGTCCGGGGCGCAAAGCTGGGCGCGGAGACGGGCAAAGACCGCGGGTCTGGTTTCTGGCCCCGGCGGGGTAGGGTCCGGGCCGACCGGACACTCCAGGCGGGGGCAGCGGGGGGCGAGGGGGGACCGACCGGGACACTCCAGGCGGGGGCAGCGGGGTAGGGTCCGGGACCGACAGGGACGCTCCAGGCGGGGGCAGCGGGCTAGGGTCGGGGACAGACTGGACGCTCCAGGCGGGGGCAGCGGGGTAGGGTCAGGGACCGACAGGGACGCTCCAGGCGGGGGCAGCGGGGTAGGGTCGGGGACCGACCGGACGCTCCAGGCGGGGCAGCGGGGTAGGGTCCCGGCGAGGGCAGCGGGCTAGGGTCCGGGACGACCGGACGCTCCAGGCGGGGCAGCGGGATAGGGTCCCGGCGGGGGCAGCGGGGTAGGGTCCGGGACCGAGAGGGCGGGGGCAGCGGGGTAGGGTCGGGGACGACCGGACGCTCCAGGCGGGGCAGCGGGATAGGGTCCCGGCGGGGGCAGCGGGGTAGGGTCCCGGCGAGGGCAGCGGGCTAGGGTCCGGGACGACCGGACGCTCCAGGCGGGGGCAGCGGGGTAGGGTCGGGGACCCACGGGACGCTCCAGGCGGGGCAGCCCCGGGCGCGCCCCCGCCCGCTCACCTGGCGTACTTGGTCTTCTGGAAATCCAGGAGCCGGGGCCCGAGCATCGCGGCGGTTCCATGGGCGCGCAGCCCCGGCCCGGACGCGAACTTCGGGCGCAGCAGGTAGGCGGCGCGGGCGGGGCGGCGGGCGCGGGGCGAGCGAGCGAGGTGCCGGGAGCCGCCGACGCAAATCCCGACCAGATGGCGGCGGGCGGGGCGGGGGGCGCGGGCCAATCGCCTTAGTCCCCGCGGCCGGCGCCCTCCCGGTGCGGGGCGGACCCTCCAGCTCCAGCCGGGGGTACGGGGAGCGGTGTGGGGGACCGCGGGGCGTCCTGAATGCAACCCCTGCTTTCTGTCCCCGTGTCGCCACCTCCTCCCCGCCCCCCATCGCAGATTTTAAATCGAGGAGGGCCCGGCTGGAAGGCAGCGGACACCGCCCGCGCACCCGCTCTCGCCCCGCGTGGCTGGTCCCGAGTGGACTTGTGGCTCGCCCTTCCCCGCCGCCAGCGCCGGTCTCTTCGAGGGGGGACACGACCCCAAAGGATCCGCCCCAATGGCTATAGTCTCTGGAGACCCCCCACCATGAGGTTGTGACTCTGGGGACCCGCAAGACCCAGAGACACAGATACACATTTGGTTGCCAGAACCCGGGGTACCCAGGATCTGCCCACGCCCTCAGCGTCCTCTATGAAATCCAGCCCCCCTTTAGGAGGTCTTGGCCAGGATTCTGGCTAAAGGAAGCCACCTACTGGAAAGGGTGCCATCCCTGGGGGCTGCTGGAGGCAGGACAGTCTTCAGCTTAGGACAGATCCCAGAATTGAAGCTCCTCCTTCTCATCTCACCCCTCACCCTCCTCCCCTGCCCTCCCCTGGCCTGTTCCCAAGGCCCAGCTCCCTGCTACTTTTCATAGCAATGCACTGAGACCCTGCTGGCACTCAGAAAATCACCCTACTCGCCCTCTGCCCAAGGTGCTGGAACGAGATGAAGAAAAAAGGCAGAGACTCCCTCTAGTTCATCTCTGCAGCCAAACGTGGGCACCGTGGACACACAGCTGTTACTGGAGAGCACCAGTAGGGCTGCTGGCCATGCAGTCAGACCACAGCAGGGCTGGTGGGGGGAGGGCATGTCGCTGGGGGAGGGAGGGCCAGACGTGGGGACCAGAGAAGGGGTCCAGGGACGTTCACAGGTAAAATCCACCAGACCCTGTTGATGGATTAGAAGTGGGGGATGAAGGAGACAGAGGAGTCAGGGATGACCCCTGACCCTGTGGGTGGGACGCCACTTGGGCGAGTGTGTGTGTGGGGCGGGGAGTGAGAAGAGACCAGAGGAGGAGCAGCAGGGAGGCTAGGCGAGCCTGAGGTCAAGGCTGGCATGGGGGGAAGGCCCAGGGTCTGCAGGGCAGGATGCCCCCCCCCCATGAGGAGGGGCTGCAGGGCTGAGCTTGGAGGGTCCCTGGGAGCTTGGAGCAGTGGTTTCAAATCCCCCCTCCCCCCAACCTGCTGGTGCTGTGACTCAATATGACAGCCACCAGCCTGGTGACTTCTACATGAAGTAAAATGAGATATAATGTACAGAGCAGTTCCTGGGGCCCACGAGCCACAGTTCAAGTGCTTGGCAGCCACGCGTGGCCAGTGGCTGCCACGTGGGACTGTGTCCAAGGTCGCAGGAAGTTCTGTGGGACAGCACTGCACAAGATGGCGGAGTCACTGTCAGGAAACGGTAGACCTTTGTGGCCTGGTTGGGATGGAGCCTGTTTCTCACTGGGAGTCATGGTGAAGAACCGTGGGGTTCATGATTGCAGTGACCAGCGCCCCCTGTCCCCTCATCCGGAGGAGGGAAGCGAGGCTGAGAGGGACCAGGGGACCCCCCCCCCTCCGACCTGCCCTGGCGCCCAGCTCTCCTGCTCTGAGCCCGTGGCTACAGCTAGAGGATTTCTCAGACCCCCAGGAGAAGTCAAACTGAAGCAGGTAAGGGCCCCTGACCTTCGTCGCAGTTGATCTGACCCCGTCCCCAAGTGCCAGCCACATTGTGTCCTCAGTCCTCAACCTCAATTCCCAGAAAGGTCCCTGCTGGCTTTGCAAAGGTGACAGCCCCTGGAGGCCTGACCGCCAGTGACCCTCCCTCCCAGGGTGTCCCCAGGAGACCACAGCACCCAGAGGCTGAGGGAGCCCAGTTTGGGCCTGGGCTCCTGGCTTGCCTGCAGTCACTGTGGCAGTGGGCTCAGCAGGGCCCCAGAGGAGACCCCTGAAAGGAAACACAAGCCTAGAAATAGATTTTCTTTTTCTCCAAGAGCAAAAGAAGTTGAGTAAGAAATCAGTTGCTATTTTTACTGCCTCATCCAGTTGTTATGGCAACCAAGGGCCTGACTCCAGCCACAGGGAGCCAGGGTTGGGCTGTGTGTGGGCCCAGGAGACAGGGTGGGCACCAGGGGCAGCAGGGGACAAGCCTCAGGCTCCCACAGGGGCCTTCACGGGGGCCCAGGTCTGCCCCAAGGTCAGAAGTCCACCTCTGCTCCCCGCTCACCCCCTCGCCCTCGTGGGTGGCCCCTGAGGACGGCTCCCTTTGGTGCAGGCCCACCCCCTGCCAGCTCTGTGGTCTCCGCTTTGCTCAGCCTTGTCGCTGAAGTCTGTCCACCACTCCCGGGAAGAGGTGACCGTGCCCCCCTCCGGAGAGGACCCGCAGCTCCTGCCTGCCCACGAGGAATGTGTTCGATCTAGCAGGTAGTGCCTTCTGCGGCTCCTCCCCTCCAGAACCATCCCCGGAGAACGTTCTGGCTCTGGTCAGCCCCTAACTTTGACCCCTGACACTCCTAACCAGAGAGGCTGTGGGATTTAGGGAGTGCCCGCAGGCAAGAGCCACTGACTGCAAATGTCACCGTCTTTCAAGATTCCCTCCCTGTTCTATCTGCTCCTGTCCCTTCAACTAATATCTGTATCTGTCATCTATACTATGTCCTGCCTATATAATATGTGTGCGGTATATCTATCTGTTAAAAATAGTTGGTGTGTATATATATGTCAGATTTTATGACACATATATTCCAGATTCTATTTTATGTGTGTGTATATGTAACTGCTGGAGAGTTAGCCCGTCTGGGCTCCTCTGTCCTCTGTCGTCACCGAGAGCTGGGCTCCAATCCTTCCTCCGTCGTTCAGCCTGCTGAGTGCGGGGCCCTGGGCCTGACGGAACAGCCTTGCCCAGTCTCTGCCCAGCCAGGAAGCCAGGGGGCTCTCCCTCCTTCCGGGCTCCGCCCTCCTGGGCCAACTTCGGGGCTTCCCAGGAAGGAAGGAGCGCTTCCCAGGACCAAGCTTGTCGCTGCTCACGGGCTGGGTTCCCAGGAAGCAGGCTCTGCGATGAGCTTAGATGAAAAGATTTATTAAGGGGCTGCTCTCAGGGTCACAGCAGGGATGGGGGTGGGGGAGGCAGGAAGGGCATCGGGAGGGGCTGGGCTGCTGGGTTCTGGTGACAGTGGCCTCAGCAGGTCCCCAGGGCAGTTCTGAAGCTGGGGAGACCCTTCAGAGGTTTCCCCAAGGGTAAGTGAGTTGGGCCTTTACACCCCACCCATCTGTCACTGGTTCTACTGCAGGAAAGGGGTGTGGGGGGGGCGAGGTGCCCCTGAGGGCTGACAGCCTGGGGGGACACCTTTCATTCCTGACCAGAGCGTCCTCTGATTAAGACCTTACTGCGTGGCAGCCTCTTCCCAAGGCCCCTTCACTCTCTTCCCAGCCTCCCACCTCGTCCGTCCGTCCATCTGAGCAAGGCCCTTCTCCCCTCAGCGCCCCTCCTGACAGCCAGGAATCCAAACCCCGAACTCCCAAAGCAGCAGAGACAGAGCAGGGAGCACGCTGGGTGAGGAGGTGCGTGCGGCCCGGTCCTGGGGCTTAGGTTTTGATCTTTGAGACATCCCACGTCAGCCTGGGGGTTACTGTCCAAGCCCGCAGGAGAGGCCCCTGTCACACCTGCATTCGCTAAGTGTCCAAGGACACCGTTCACGTCAAAACAGTCTCATTTTCTAGAGGACGCGGGGGCTGGAGAGGCCTTAGAGGAGGAAGCTGGATTCAAAGCCAGGCTCGCATCGACTTGCGGACTTGGATGAAAACTAAACAGGAGCAAAAGAAAAAACAGGCAGGTAGACCCCGAGTCGGCGGAAGAAGACCACGTACCCGCTAGAGGGTGAGGGGACCTCCCCACATTGGGAGACTCCCCCAGGTCTGTATTAAAATTTCACCCAAGGCAGAGACAAAATATCATGTTCAAATATTCGCAAACTGGTGTGATGCGGTAAGTAGACACGAAAGCTTCCGTTTCTGCTCCACACATATAAGAAAGACCAAATGTCCGGGGTATTAGACAGGCGCTGGTAAGCTGTGCTGTTCTCCACGTGGATGACTTCGGAGCAGCTGACCCTGAAGTGTCCCAGACCCAAGGGGCATTGGGGAGGGGACGCGGAGCCCGGGGCCGGGGCCTAGTCCAGCCTCGGACAGTTGTGTTAGCTCAAACAAGTCACACTGTCTGGGCCTCGTGTTTTTTATTTCTAAAGTGAAGGTGTTTTAGCTCTAAAATTGTGAAGTTAAAATGTAACAGTCCCAAAAAAAGAACAAAGTTGGCGTAATCCTCCTCCATGGGCTCTGATGTTCAGTCCTTCTCTCCTGGGGCCCCTCTAACATGCCAGCCCTTTGTCCCCACCCCCTGCCTAGGTGCCCCCCTTACCCACTTCTGGTTACCGGACACCCCTGATCCGGGTCTCCCCCAAGATAGGAGCCAAAGCCAAGATCCACTCGGAGGGTCCCCTGGAGTCCAATGTACTAGGCCCTGCTGCCCTCTTGTGGCCGGAAGTAGAATGATTACACATTTTTAAAAAGTGCCAATCCCCGGAGTTGACTCTGATAAGGCCGGGGATGGAGGAGGCGGACAGGGAGGGCGGGTTTTCTAATTTACACCCACACCTGAACCGTGGGACGTGGGAATGGGGCGGATGCTACGCAAAGGGAAAGTCTTTCAGGTGGGAGAGAGAGCTTGGAAGAACCATGGAGCTGGAGCGAGGCGGTCCAGGTGAGACAGAAGAGGTGAGCAAAGGCTGCACAGAACAGCTGGGTTTTACTGGGAGGGGGGTGCGGAGAGTGGCCACAGCCCATCGCCTGTTAGGGTTCCTCCGAGCGATGCTTCCAAGAAGTGGAGACAGGCCAAGGGTGGCAATGTGGGAGCCTTTCCTCACCCCCAGGTTAGAGGGGAGGGTGCCCCGGACACCTATGGGAGTGGAGAGGCGGAAATGACTGGTTTCTAACTACCTTTTGGAAGCAGGACCCGCACCATTCGCTGAGGGCGTGGAGATGGAACAGACAAACACACGTGGCCGGTCCACGTATCAGGACAGAACCTGCCACCTGCAGCAACCGGCCCTGTAGCCGTCCGCCCCAAAGGTCAGGACTTGATCAATACCCGGCAGCTCCCCTCATTGTCGACCTGCTCCCTACTGAGGACCAAGCGGAGAAAGCCAGATGCACCACCTGTCACGGGGACATCCTGCTTCTGGCTAGCCCACCTCCAGCTCCCCAGGCCTGCCCTCTCCCCAGCCCCACCGGAAGCGCTCTCTTCTCTCACTACGGAGCTGCCCCTTCCTCTGCCCCCTGAGTCACTCCAACCCGCTGAACCACCTGGCCAGCGAAAGACGCATTTGAGAATGGAGTTTTTTAGCAAACTGCCAGACAAGTTAAATAGTGACCGTGCTCTGGGGATGGGGCTGTTGGGGAACTCCAAGCCCATTATGCCCCTTCCAGTGGCTGCCAGCTGTTTTCACACCTATCACAGTTGCGAGGCTACTGGTTTTTAAGGCTAACAGGGATCTCAAATAAAGTGAAGGGACTAGGGCAAATTAAAATGCCACAAGGCTCGCCTAGCTGCTGTGGCTCAGTGGATTGAGCGTCATTCCATAGACTGAGAGGTTCCAGTTCGATTCCCCGACAGGGCACATGCCTGGGTTGCAGGCTCCATCACCATTGTGGGGCGTGCAGGAGGCAGCCGATCCATGTTTCTCTCTCACATCGATGTTTCTATCTCTCCCATTCCTCTCTCTCTAAAAAAAAAAAAAAAAAAATCAATTAAAATAAAATAAAATGCCACAAGGCTCACTGTGTTTATTGCAATTTAGCTGTTTTGCTTGGAAAATACTTCTCAGATTGTTGCAAGCCTTTAGTTAATTTCCAGAGTTCTAAAAAAGTTGATTTGGATCATGTTTGTCAGTGTTCTCTTTTTGCTTTTATGGTAGGAGAGCAATACAGTGGAACCCTGTGCAACTGGTAGAAGAGAATCTGCCCCCGAAGAGGCCTGGGAATGTGCCCAGGGCACGTCGTTAAGCGAAAAGGAGGAATGGTTTTCGGAGATTCTCGCCCCACTGTTCTAGAAATGCTTCCTCCCACCCATTCTACCTGCATGGCGTTCTCATGAGGTCAGTTATTTTAACCTTTGTCATTACCAAGGAAACTGATGCTCAGAGAGGTTAGATGACTTACCTCAGGACACAGACCTTGTGAGAATCTGAGTCAGGATGTGAACTGCGATGTGCCCTCCTGATTTCCGTATTGGCCATGTCCCGACCTCTCTCCTGCTGCCTCACCTCGCACAGCGTGCACTCCGCCACCCCTTCGCCCCAGTCCTAGGTCCCTCCTCCATGCCCTCCAGTTTACTGAGGAGTCTGCCCGTAGGGGTGCTGCTCCTATGTGCTTAGGTTGCACGTAAGGACACCTGAGGAATGTCCTGCCAATGACGGCTCTGCTCTAACGTTAGGAGGAAGGGACGCTCTCGCTGGGATTGGCATCAGGCCAGTCACCTGGAGGAGTTCTGAAGTGATGACAGAGGGTCCTGAGCATTCTTCCCCACCACTCACCATCAGGAATGTGAGTGAGCTCACGCAGTCCTCGAGGTGAGCTGGGAAGCAAGGGTGCATTCCTGAGTCACACACGCGCCAAGCTCTCTGGCACAAACCCAGCATGCTCTCCAACAACACTTGTCTGTGGTCCCCAGGAAAACCCAGAGAATAAAGCAGTAAAACAAAAACCGAGTGGGCAGAAGCCCTCAGCTCCAGCCCATTCTGGCCACCAAGAAGGGAGGCTCAGAGTTCAGTTCTTCACACATCAAGTTCTCATTATTCTAGGTAATGGGAACAGAATGAACACAGACACTCCCCCTCCTGGAGCTTATGTTCCAGTTGGGAGGAGATAGTATATGGTCTACTGGAAGGTGATACGTGCTATATACAAATAGAAAGCAAGGAAAGGGATAGGGAATGTGAGAAAGTGTAGAGGTTACCACTTTTAATAGGGTTATCCAGGTATCTGTGGCAATTCTCTTCCCACCAAGAAATTAAGGTGAAGGAAGTTGGACACTGGGCTCATGCCCTTGGAATTCACCCCTTGTCATGCGCCCTATTACTCAGATGGATGGTAGAACGGCGTACCAAAGACTTGGTGTGGCAGCAGCTAAGACACCCACACCCTGTGAGGTTGGGATGTCGTTCTACAATAGTCAGCACGAGCCCGCAAACTAGGAACCGTAGTGTTTCCTTGCATGCATCTACTAATCCACTGAAGTTGTGTTGTTTCCATCTACATCACAGAGGCTCACTGGATTTTGAGATTCTAGCACCCAAAGGGTCCTCTCTTACTCCAAGGAACAGAGTCATGGTCCTGGTAAATGGAAACTCAGTCAACCCCGTGGCTATTTTGGGGTGTTCATTTGTTGAACCAATGGAGAGAGGAGGTACCAATCTAAATGGAATAAGAGATTCTGATGAACAAGAGGAAATTGGGCGACTTTTGACAATGAAGTCAAGGAGTGTGTCTAGGACCCACGACATTTACTTGGGCACCTCTTTATGTGCCTCTGCTCCACAATAACACCCCACAGAAAGCCAACTGATAACCACAGAACTGCTGAAACGGGGCTCATGATGTCAGTGGTTAGTTACATGGGCACTTACTTTATGTGTATTTATGCATTTATATATGGTCGCACATGTCCTTCTGACTGCACAGTCCCTGTCCCTCAAGTCCAGGTTAGGTGACCTCATTATGTATTCTTATTATACCCAGCTTTGTAATTGTGTTTAAGTATCCCCCCCACACACACACTGTAAGTTCGCTGAGGGAAAGGAGGAGGCCTGTTCCGTTCACATGGAAGGTGTTTCCTAAATATTACTAGGAATTAATAAATGTAAGGCGGGATCCTCTCCTAGGGAACCCAGCAAGTGTGGGCATTAGAGAAACGGGGTTTCCATTCTCAGATCCAACACTTGGCAAACAGGCTCGTATTTCTGAGCCTCAGTTTTCAAATCTGTAAACTGGGAATGCAATAGTCCACACAGGGTTGCTATACCATCCAGTAAGATAATGCACGTAGGTAGTTCGCACAATGACTGGCGCACGGCGGGCCTTCTAATATAGATAATACGGTGGAGGGGGGGGTTTACCGAGCGCCTGCTCTTCCCCATACGCATGCGCGGCGCTCGACGCGCCCACAAGCCCCGCCCCGCGCACCTCCGCGCGTCCCCACGCTTGCGCTCGTTCGGCCGGAACTCCAACCCGGGACAGAGGTGAAGGGGCGGGGCCACGGCAGCACGCCTGCGCCGCGAGAGACCCGTGCAGCGAAGGGGCGGGACGCGCAAGCGCGCACGGCGCCCCGGCTCCGGAGCATAAACAAGAGCGGGGACGGGATGAGGCGGCGATTGATCCCGGGGCAGCGAACAGGGGCGACTTCGGCGGCGAGCGGGGCCCGGCGCCGACCCTGAGCGCACGCGACCGCCGTCCCGCGCGCGAGCCCCCGGCTGGGCCTACCCGCCCGCCGCGCGCCCACCATGAACCTGGCCAGTCAGAGCGGCGAGGCCGGCGCCGGCCAGCTGCTCTTCGCCAACTTCAACCAGGACATCACGTAAGGCTGCGGGCCGGGGTCAGAGGGCAGGGGTCGGGCCGGGCTCGGGGCCCGGGGGCCGGGGCGGGCGCGTCCCTGGGTGGGCCCGGGCCGCGGCGTGGGAGGGCGCCCTCCTCAGGGACCCTGGGGGCTGCCACCTGCGGGCGGGCAGTGACGGCGCTCAGGAGGGTGCCCCACCGACGGGGGGCTTCCTCCTTCCGGACCCCCTTTCTCTCACAGTCGGGCCGAGCTCAGGCCGGACTGTTTTCCCGCCGCCTCTGCCCCGGCGGGAGTGGGGTCCGCCCCGCCAGCCCCGCTGTCGCCGGCTCGCTCCCCTCTTCGGGACCCCCTCGTCCCCTCATCTAGGGCCCCTTTCCCCGCTTTCCTCTCCTTCCCCTCACGTCTCTCTGTGCTTTCTGGCAGGAAACTTGGGTGCCCTCCCCGAGCAAGAAACAAACTGAGCAGGGACTCTGGGCTCCGACCTGGGGGGGACTGAGCCCAGGGGGGTGTGGCGGAGATGCCCGGGGGCCGGGCCCTCCCTGGGGGGCGGCCCGATGCCGGCCGCGGTGGGCCCGCGCCCAGGCCGGAGGGATGGTTGCTGGATGAGGCTTCGGGAGCGGGCAGGATGCGCTGTGGGGCGGGAGCCCTCCCGGGAAGTGAGTAAGAGGAAGTGATGTCAGGAGGGGGTCAGAGTGGGCCGTGGGCTCTCCAGTGGGGAGGGGGTCGAGTTGCCACTGGCTGAGTGCAGTGGGCAGAGTCCAACACGAGGTTTATGTTATTTTACTTTTTTTGGTTAAAACTTGGTCGCAGGCAAACTATAAGGTGATGGAAGATGATGTGACTTGGGGCGGTGGGCACACAGTGCACTGTCACAGATCACGTATGGTAGAGATGTACCCTTGAACCCCCGGGCGATCTTATTAACCAGTGTCACCCCAATCAGTTTAATTTTAAAAAATAAGCAGGAGCCCTGGCCAGTTTGGCTCAGCGGCTGGAGCATCAGCCTGCGGACCAGAGAGTCCCTGGTTGGGTTCCCACTGGGGGCGCGTACCCAAAAAATAATAATAAAAATAAGCAGGAAAAACAACAACTTGGCTGTAGAATGGCCAGCCTCAGGTCGGTGGCATGCAGCAGGACTCTAATGCACACAGTCCCCCGGTGGGGCTGCATTGAGGGTTGGAAGGGAGGAGGTGACCCATCCAACCAGAATAAGGAAACCCAGGTTCCGAAAGGTTCTGGCTCTTAGGATCGGTTAGTAGTGTAGTGGGGCAGGGCTGACACGTTTCCTGAATTCTCGCCCACGGTCTTTCCACTCTGCCAGCAGGGGAGGATTTCGAGGGGAGTGAATTTGGAAATCAGACTGTCGCAATCTTTAAAGATTAAATCAAACCAAATACTGTAGTGGTCTATGTGACCAAAAGCTGCTACAGCAGAAACAACTTGGACAGCCTGATGCAGGTGGTTCTAGTTGGGATAGACCATGTTATCCAGGTAGGGAGTCGGGCGTTCCAAACCAACTGTGATTTAGTGTTTAAGTCCTTAGTATTTTGAGACTGGTGAGAAATGGTAGCTTGATGGGTGTTTTTTCTGTCTTATATAAATTAGAGAATTTCCAAAACGTTTCCTACCATTTGTTCAGGTGTTCACTCCTCATCATTTGCATTGAAAGGAAGTCAGATATGACCAGATATTCTCTTTGCTGTTATTTCAAATGGCACCAAATTCCCTGTATAATAGAAGAATGTCATTCTGTGTGGCCTGAAAAAAGATTTTTTCGCAATTGAAAATCATGTGCTTCCCCACCCTCTGGGAATCCTGAAGTTATTGGTTCAAGAGAAGATTGCTGTTATAATTTTAACTTGCCAAAGAGGCCTTGATATAGTATGAACATAAATTGTAAGGAATACGTAGCAAGTTTGGATTATACAAAAAGTTTATTGATTAAAATGACTGTAATTTGTTTTAAATCGACACTTGAAAGAAATACAAAAGTTCTTGGGGAATGGCTTTACAGTTTACACCTTTCCCTCCCAGAATGTATTGTAATAGGTGAACACAGTTTTTCTCAAGACAGACAATATTGGCCTAGGACCCGCAGTCTGCGTGTTCAGTGAGGGAGTCTGGGAGGCCTCTCCCTGAGTAGAAGGCATGAACGTTCTGCAGTGACACTTAGCAGCTGAGTGTCCCTCACACACCAACTGCCCTGCCTTTCTTCCCCACTGGTCATGGTTCAGTGTTGTTCTATATTTCCCTATGATTCGTGTACTAAAAGTGTGACTAAGTTTTATTTCTTTTTTACATTTTGTTTTGTTTTGTTTTGTTTTTTAACTAGACCAGAGAAAAAGGCAGCAAGAACAGCTCATCTGCGTTGTCTTCCTCCTACCTGGTTAGTTCCAATCCTAGTTTCTGAAAGTAGCACTTTGGAAGGCTTATAATGGAGAAATGTTTGGCTTTTTGCAGCTGAAGGTAACAAACTAGTAAGTGGCAGTAGATCACTTGAATCTCAGATGGAAATAGGGCTGGATTCTTCCAGTGGACATCACTCTGTGGGAAGTGCTTTGGCGGTGTTTGTTTTAAGCTACATTTCTAAAAGGGATAAAGTAAAGAAAGGAATTTGATGTTCTAAGTCTTCTGTTTATAGAATCTATGTGAGTGTTTAGAAAAGTTATAGGTACAGAGACCATAGGAGACATTTGTTTGAATTTATTGCTTTCTTCAACTAGGTTTCTTCTGGGTTACAGTTATTATTCCGGGTAGGTCATTTCTCTCCTCCTTAGCAAATTGATGGGCTTAGGAGTAGGTGGTTTCTAAGGACCCTCCAAACTTAAAGATACAGGTCATTCTGCCTGCTGCGGAGGATGTGTAGAGGAGGCCAGTGGAAAGGGGACTGGTTAGCCGTCAGGACTTGGTGTGACTCACTAGACACGTGACACATTTAAGGGAGAAGTTAAAGTTACCCCCAAGTCTCTGGTTTGGGTTCTGGTGAACAGTGATAAATGTCCTTATGGGAGAAAGATCAAAAAAGGGTTCAGTTTAAGAGGAAATGATGCACTCTGCTTTGGAAATCCTGCTGGAGGCCTGGGATGGAAGTGACGGGAGCTGGAGAGAAGAGTCTTTGTGGTGATAAACTTATTAAGTGGGGCTGCAGAGCCCACCAGGTGATTCCTTTTTATGGTTTGGGCCACCTCCATTTGACCCTCTGACCTCTAACCTCGGTAAGGAAGAAGACAATGAAAAGGGAAAGCCTTTACAGACTGATCCTTGGGAGGAGGGTAAAGAAAGATCCAGTTCACATTTTTGTTTTTTAGTTCAAATCACTGTTTTATACATGGAACACTCAAGTTTAATTTCAGTGACAGTGACTTGCAGATAAAGATAGGAAACCAAACAAACGCATTTATTTTGGCTCCCTCCCAAAACACTAATAAAATGTCAGTAAAATATCAAAAAGATCTTTTAAAAGACTTAACCCCATCGGATGGGGAGAATGAGGAAGGAGACGTACAATGAAATTTTGGAAGCTAGCCAGTGGCAAAGGAGAGTGGATCCTAAATTGCTGGTGGAGAAAGCAGAGGACCCAGCTGGCTGACACGGCAGAGTCCCCAGAAGGCTCAGGGTGGCACCGGAGGGAAAGTAGAAGCGGGAAGGGGACAGGGTGGAAAGAAAGGGCTCCAGAAGCAGTCACTCTCCGAGGCCTATCCTGAGAGGGCACAGCAGGGGCTCTGGATCTGGACCGTGGGCGCAGCTGAAGGCAGGAGTGTGGTAGTGACGTGGGGCAGGAGTAGACAGATCCTTTTTCTGCTGTGGTTTGCTAGTTTTCCCTTCGTCAGTAAAAGATGCTCATTGTGTTACCTTAAACAAACTTACCACCTGGAAATTTGGGGGGGAATAGATTATATATTGGGGGAATCTCATACTTAACTTTACTGTTCCTCTCCATTAATATGCCATCAGGTGGTAGGTGAATCCTGATTACTCAAGGCAGAATCTCCAGAGGGTTGTGTGAACCTGGCTGTTGGTGTTTGAGCTAAAAATATCAAACCTGTACATATTTAATATCACCTTTTAAAAATGCCTGCCTTTATTGATAAAATATATGTTCATACTATACCGTATACACATAAAGGAATAATTGGACTATTTTTGTTTACTTTTTGTTACTGATTTCGGTGTACAATTGTTTGGATAAACCATGGGATTAACATTCTAGTGGTAAGGTATTGCATATCCTAAATAGGCGTCTGAAAATCAGAAGAACGTCAGAGTTCTGATGTTTGATCAGCAGAGCCCAGTTTTAACAAATTCTACCTGTTTGGAGCATATTGAGAACCTAGATATATCAAAATCCAGGTTCTCGTTAATTAATTAAAACTCATTATTTTACCCAATGAAGAGGCTTTTTTTTTTCATCCTCACCCAAGGACGTTTTTCCATTTTTTGTTCAGATAGAGTAGGAGGTCAGAGAGAGAGAAACATCGACGTGAAAGGGACACATCGAGTGGCTGCCACCCGCACAACCAACCAGGGCCGGAGACAAACTGCAGCCGAGGTACGTGCCCCTAGCAGGAACCGAACCTAGGTCTCTCTGGACCGCAGGCCGACGCTCTAACTGCTGAGCCAAACCAGCCAGGGCGAGATATATTTTATATAGATGTATAGATATATATATATAGATATATATGCTTGATGATTTGGTTTCTAAGTAAACAAAATATTAGAAAGGGAAAGGGGCTATTGATCATAGAGTCACAAGGAAAAGTGACAACTGTCAGCAAAACAAAAGGTAGAGAATATTTTTAAACTCAGTACTACAGTCGAGCAGTTTGATGCAGGTACACAAACCCTACACTCCTTGTTGGGTCTGAGAGGGTCACTGGATTGTGGCAGCGCAAGTGGTTTGATGTGAGAGCCCAGAGGAAGGTAAGAATTGCCATCTCCTTGTGCTAAGAGCACAGGGAAGCTTATAAGAATGACTTTTAAAATCAGAAATGGTGGGGGAAAAGTTTTGGTGCTTAGAATAACAACCCTTAGTTTACTGGAAAACATTTTCCTGAACACCAATTTCCCTAAAGTTGTGGGGTACTGAGATTTGGTTTTATTTTAGCCCTCTTGGTTATTCTTGTATTTTTGTTGGTTCTTTTATTACTTTTCAAAATATTTACAGGTAACAATTACTTCATTGATACAATTAATTCAATATAGCGAAGTATTTTTACAAAGAAAAATGACATGAGCTGTAGAAAGTTTTTCAGTTTATATTTCTATGATAAACCAATTGCAGTTTAAAAATTTAAGAGTGCTCATAGCAGCTCTGTTCTTGGAATACAGTGGACCCTGGAACAGCGCAGGTTTCAGCAGAGTAAACATACAGCGGGCCCTCTGTATGCCGGGTTCCACCTCCGCAGATTCACGCAGCCTCCAGTGTGTGCATTGTTCTGCCCCGTTTCACGTCAGGGACTTGGGCACCACGGCGTTGGGTGTCCGTGCGTCCTGGAGCCGGTCCCTCCACTCCACCGGATCCGGAGGAACAACTGAGTTTTGAGGAAATCAGAATTTACACACAGATTTTTTACTGTGCGGGGTGGGTGCCCCGACCCCCATTGTTGAAGGGTCAGCTGTGTGCTTCTCCCGGCACACATGTGAGAGGTCGGGAATCTCAGGTCTGTGACAGAGGACACTCATGGTGCGAGTGTCGGTCCTCATCATTTCTAGTCTGGCTTATCTTCTGTCTCCACCTGTTCCGTGTTCTCCAGGCATCCATACACAAGCAACCCCAGCATCTGATTCTTCCCGTTCCTACCACTTCCTGCTTTGTTCTCTCCTCTCTCCAAAGGCTGTGCTCTCTCCTCACTTCCCTTGGCCAGCCGTATTGGAAGGAGTGACCAGCTGACAGGGAATACTTTGCTCAGTGCCACAGCTCTATTGTGGGGGGTCTTGAGAGCCCTCGAGGCCCTGCCAAGCCTGTTGGCAGAAGCGGCAGTATTGGTGTGGGGTGGCAAACGTGAATGTGGGGGACAAGGCCCTGAAAACGGAGCCTTCGCTTTCTCCTAGGCCAGCTGGGCAGTGTTCGGATTCCAGGTCCTCAGTCAACTTCTTGGTTTGTTTTATTCTGTCCCACTGCTCAGCCATGCGTAAGTGTTGGCTGCATCTGGGAGGGCCGGACTGAATGCAGAGAGGGACAGCCACCCGGGCTGCAAGTTCTGGGAAGAGGGGTAGCTCACGGAACTTGGACTCTCACATGTCCCGAGCACCTGAGAAACCGTGCTTTGTTTTGAGGGGATCGTTCACTTAGGGTTCATTACTTCATTACATGTCAGATTTATAAAGTTTTACATTTAAATAAGAATATTGTCTGTCTGTACTTACTGACCCTCACCTTTTCCTGGTTGTGGGCGTGTCATCTTCCTCTGTCATCTTCCTCTCCTTCTCGGCTGCCACTCACCTGGTATAGACCACATGAAATGACTATGCTAACATTCAGTAAAGATGATGGCTACTCTGATAACAGGGAGTGGTTTGTGCATTATCACTGTCTTATTTCTACACGTATCAGCTCTTATTTCTGAATTTGGCTTTTTTGCAGGTCCCTAGCTGTTGGTAGTAAGTCCGGTTATAAATTTTTCTCCCTTTCTTCTGTGGATAAGCTGGAACAGATCTATGAATGCAGTAAGTGTTTGCTTTATTTTTCCCCCTCTTAAAAAATAGACAAGTTTAACTTGAATTGATGTGCATCCTTAAATCAGACAGACTGAAGTCCAGGTGCCCCTGACCAGTTCTCTTCCACACACACTGGGAACAGTGTGTATGCCTCCCAGATCGCTTCCTGTTTATTTGCCTTCTTACAATTGTACATATAGACATGTGTTTTATGGGTTGATATTTTTTTTTAATACATGGTATCATACTATATGTATTACTCTGTGATTCCCCACGTTTTCCATGCTGTTTAATCCCTCCAGGTTCCTGTCGTACAGGGCTTCCAGGAAGTAGAATACTTTGCAGCCCTGCAGGGATGAGTGTTCTTCAGTTGTCATTTTCTGGGATTGGAGGAGCCAGCGACAATTGGAGGAGTCAGGGACAGTGTGGAATTGCAGGCGGGTCGTGACCTTTGACTTCTTGCTCGTCACCATGTGCCTTGAGGGAAATTACTTCCCCTTGGGCCCCAGTGTGTTCGGTTTTCTGTCGTGTGTGCCGTAGTACCTGCTGGACAAGCAGTAGTGGGTACAGCTCCTCCCCCAGTGAGAACATGGAAAGCTTTGACTCCTCCCCCATGCCTAACTCTTTAATGTGGTTAGACATCTCCTATTTGTCTTTGGTTCCATTTACTCTATAAACGTTTTTTGAGGACTTGCTGTGTGCCAGCCTTTTGGTTTGTGGAGATGGCGGTACTGACAAGTTCCTGCTCATGACACATTTGAGTGGAGGAAGACAAAAGCAAGTAGACATTTCAGTGCAGTGTTCGGTAGGGACACAAAGATAAGCAGACACAGACATAAGTACCACCATGACCCCACCTCCATTACCAGAAGATGAAGACACCAGGGAAAAAGTCAATTCTTTGCCAGTTACTTGAAATTGTGGTGTTCTCATGGCCCATCAGGAGGTCAGAGGCTTTTCAGGCTTCCTCCCAGGCCTGGCCTTCTCTCCAGTGAGCCCTCTCCCAGGTGCCCTCGCCTCCATTGGCAGAGTGTCTGACTTTCGCCAGCAAGTCCCTTGTTTGTTGCTGCCGCATAGGCAGCGCCCAGACCCTTTACAAGGAGACCGCAGGGAAGCAGGGTCCTGTACTCAGCCAGCGTCCCTGCCCTGGTTTCAGCTGGCTGCGCAGATTTTACTTTTTCTGTCCTCAGACTTGCCTCCTGGTACTGACCAAACCTTCTCAAAAAAGCTGTTGTTATAGTATGTAGCTTGGAAGATGTGGTCTGGGTGATCAGGGAGCTGTAAACTAGTGAGCTTGCTCATTTCCAGTGGGTGTCAGTGTTTCTGAAAACCCTCAACCAGCTGTCTTCACTCGACCCCACACAGGATTGCTCCCTGGAGGGGATTTCTTCAGGGAAGAGTAGCTGGTCTCTGGGGAAAGGATTCCATTGGGCTCTTACAGTGACACGCATTTGCTAAACCTGAGCCACACCGGGGCCTGGGCTGTGCCACTAAATAGTTGCAATAGGGACTGGTCACCTGTTTTAATCCACAGCATCTCCGTTTGCAGGCCCAGTGCTTAGAAAGGATGTGAGGGCACCAGGTCTTCACTCTTCCTCAGTTGGATCACTTTACTACTAACCTGCTTCTTGAATGGTATTTACTGGTTTGGGGCACCTAATGTTTCAAAGGTTTTTTTGTTTGTTTTATCCTCACCCATGGACATTTTTTTGCACTTATCTTCAGATAGAGCAGGAGGGAGAGAGGGAAGAAGAGAGAGAGAAACATCGACATGAGAGAGACACATCAACTGGTTGCCACCCATACAACCCCAGTTGGGGTTGGGGACAAACCGCAACCAAGGTACATGCCCTTAGCGGGAACCAAACCCGGGACTCTCTGGTCCACAGTCCGACACTCTAACCACTAAGCCAAACCGGCCAGGGCTCAAAGGTTTTTGGTGGAGCAAAATATGTTGTCTTGATAGCATTGTTAAAAGAGTAAGTGAGCCCTGGCCGGTTTGGCTCAGGGGTTAGAGCATCAGCCTGCGGTCCAGAGAGACCCGGGTTCGGTTCCCGCTAAGGGCTTGTACCTCGGTTGCGGTTTGTCCCTGGCCCTGGTTGGGTTGTGTGGGTGGCAGCCACTCCATGTGTCCCTTTCATGTCAATGTTTCTCTCTCTCTTATTCTCTCTCCCTCCCACTCTATCTGAATGGGAAATGGAAAAATGTCCTCGAGTGAGGATTAAAAAAAAAAAAAAGAGTAAGGGATTACTGACCGACACAGTGATTTCTTTGCTCTTCTTCGTGACCTTTGAAAATAGGTGCTGAAATGAATGTAGAAGTTTTTGAGGGTTAATACTTTACTTAATTCTTAAACTTTTTAAAATTGAATTTAGAGAGAGAAGGAGAGAGAAATATCTATAAGTTGCCTCCCATATACACCCCCAACTGGGGATCAAACCGGCAACCCAGGCATGTGCCCTGACCGGAAATTGAACCAGCGACCTTTAGGTGCATGGGACAATGCTCGACTAACTGAGCCATACCGGCTGGGGCTTGAGGGTTAATACGTTAATCCAGAGCTGTTAAATTCTTTTGCTCCTAGAACTTGATCCACCTTTCCTTTTTCACGGACTTTTATTGAGTTCGAGAAAAGAATGTCTCTTAGAGAACAGACGAGCTGCTGAGTCAAGGTTGTTTTCAGGCATTTTTCTGCAAGTAGATTCAGAGCAAAGAATAGTGCTTCCTGCCTCAAAATTCAGCCCAGGCTCAGTGTTAGCTCAGCCTCATAACACTTTCTGTAATCCTCACCCGAGGATATTTTTCTGTTTATCTTCAGATAGAGTGAGAAGGAGAGAGGGAGAACCATCTATGTGAGAGAGACACATCGACTGGTTGCCTCCTGCACGACCCCGACCAGGGCCGGGGACGAACTCCAACTGAGGTACATGTCCTTGACCGGAATCAAACTGGCAACTCTGGTCTGCGGACTGCTGCTCCAACCACTGAGCCAAACCAGCCAGTGTATAACTTAACCTTCATCATAAAGTCAGATCTTTGCTTTCAGTCACTGTTACTGTTACAGAAGGAGGCAGAGCTGGGCTTGGGACAAACAAGACTGACAATTGCTGGTTCTTCTTTTTGTTATTTTTATTTTATTTTTTTATCCTCACCCGAGGACACTTTTCCACTTTTTGTTCAGGTAGAGTGGAAGGGAGAGAGAGGAACAGAGAGAGAGAGAAACATTGACGTGAAAGGGACACATCGAGTGGCTGCCACCCACACGACCAACCGGGGCCGGGGACAAACTGCAACCGAGGTACATGCCCTTAGCGGGAACCGAACCCGGGTCTCTCTGGACCGCAGGCCGACGCTCTAACCGCTGAACCAAACCAGCCAGGGCTGGTTCTTCTTTTTAATTAAACGAGAGAACTTGTGCCCAGTAGCAGTGAAAGACTTTTTTTTACTCTTGTGTTGTTGTAACTTCAAGCTTAAAGGAGAGTTGAGAGGACTCCCTGGTGTGCTTTGCAGTGCTGGTTGTTTGTGGGTGCCTGTTTGTCTTCCTCTGTGCCCTTTGTTCGTTTGACGGTAAGTAACACGCACATCTGTGGTCTCTCGTCCCTGAAAGAACTATGGAGATGAAATCCTACCCTATTAGGCAAAATAAATAAAGGATGTAGATTTATTATTTGTGAAATACGACAGAAGTTTAGAGGGGAACATTGGCCTTCTCAGATTTTACATTATATATTCTTGCATTGTATAAGTTTCTGAGCTGGGAAGACATCCCTCATGAAGCCTACAGTTCTAAAAGTAAACATGAGCAGACTGATCCTTGCCTCTGCAAAAGCGATCAGAGAGAGCCTACTTCCCTCAGAGACGTGCCCCCGGAGACACATGGCGCCTTTTATCAAGAAATAGACCATCCTTGCCTTCGCGGGCCATCATCTTCACTGTGAGGGTCTGGGAGGCGGTGCTTTCTGATGTCGTTCTGGTTTGACAGGCCATGCACCGGTTGGGCTACAGTTTCCGTGAGATTCATTGTCATGGATCATGCAGGGGAGAAATTCCAGTGGCCTCTCTCTGCTTAAATCTGTTGTAATGGAAGATCGGGCTCTTAACGTGTATCTCTTTAGAGCCCCAGGCATCCAACAGCTTGAGAGCTTCCTGGCACTGGTGTCTTGGTAACAGGCAATCTTCAGTAATTACAAACGTGCAGCCTCGTTTCCCTTGCTTTTCATTTGGTTGCAGCACCCTTCAGTCATCAGCCTGGTTCAGCATGCGCCATTATTTCATGGGAGGTCTGAGCCATGTGTCCTTCACCTTACTGGGAAGTGACTGCACTGGGTACGTGGGTTCTGTGTACGTTTGTGCGTGGGAAGTTCCCTGGGCTCTGGCCGGTGAGCTCAGTTGTTAGTGTACCATTCCTTGCACCAAAGGGTCACCGGTTCGTTTCCCGGTCAGGGCACACATCCAGGTTGCAGGCTTAGTCCCTAGTTGGGGCGCATGTGTGAGAAACACGTCAATGTTCTTCACATTGATGCCCCCCCCCCCTTCTTCTCTTTCTCGAGAATCAATGAAATTCAAATACTCGGGTGAGGATTTAAAAAAAAGGTTCCCGCCCTGGCCGGTTTGGCTCAGTGGTTAGAGCGTCCGCCTGCGGTCCAGAGAGACCCGGGTTCGGTTCTCGCTAAGGGCAGGTACCTCGGTTGCAGTTTGTCCCCGGCCCTGGTTGGTCGTGCGGGTGGCAGCCACTCGATGTGTCCCTTTCACATCGATGTTTCCCTCTCTCTCTCTTTTCCTCTCTCTCCCTCCCACTCTGTCTGTGCAAAAAATGGAAAAATGTCCTCAGATGAGGATTAAAAAAAAATAAAATAAAAATAAAAAAAAGGTTCCCTGGGAAAGCGAGGTGTAATAAAAGATCTGAAAGAGCTTCTTGAGATAATGCAGTAGAAAAGGAATGAGCCTAAGCCACTCACGGCATGGGGAGGGAAGCTGCTTAGAAAAAGTGTGTCCCTGCGGAGAGCTGG